AGAGCTGGTTGCCAGTTGAATGTGGTTAACAGTCAGGTCTTCTTTCACTGAAGAGCTCTTTCTCCCACTACTCTGAAGTTGCCCATTTGGGTGTTTTACTGCCCCGGTTCTGTTTCTCTGTGTTGCCCTTTAGTAAATCAGCCTTACTATGGAAAACTGTCATCCTCTTAGGAGACCCCTAAACTGCCCACATGGCTTTTTAAGCCTTTTCCACGCTTTGGTGCATTGAGCCCTGCATCCAGCTGGCACATGCCCTCTTCTGGTTTCAAGGCCAGAAGAACAAATCCAAAATGTGTTGCAGAAACATCATCTGAGTTACATAATGTGCAGGGAGAAGTGGACCTGCGGTTCAGTGGATCTGCCTCTCCTTCGGTCTCCCTTGTGAACACGGATGTGTGTTATAAGACTGCTAAAGTCACAGAACGATAATGCAGAATTTTGTTCCACAGCTTCTCAGTTGTCTTCCCAGTAACAGGCACTGCAGTGTGCCAGGGGACTCAGCGATCTTAGAAATAAATTGAGTAGTGCTTACTCCATGTATTTTTTATTTCTTTAGTACCCATCCTAAGTGAATCAGAATAAAGACATATTCCAGCTAGCCAGGCCCCCAGGAGAGAAGCTGATTCTGTATTTCTGCCCTTCATTTACTTCATGGTACACAATGACTGGAAACTTATTCTGCCGATGCTGTTCCAGAATTGAAATTCTGACCTTCTTTTGAAAAATTGCAGGATTTGCCATCACTAATCCCCCACTCCAGCATGGCAGCAGTCAGACAGGGTATCAGAAATAGTAGCTCCACCTTTACCTGGGCAGGGCCCTCCAATGTGCCATAGATGGACTCACTCCCCAAACTTTCTGTTCACCCCAGTTGATCTCACTTACCTGACCTGTCTGGTCTCTTTAGCTGTGTATGTTTGCAAGCCTTCAACCATTTCTGCCCACTTCAATTTAGAGTCACAAAATCTGAGTTTCAGAGAGGCAGAGCTCCAAAAATTGGAAGCCTAGCCTGGGATCTCTACCTGACCATACTCTGATCTCCATCTGGAGGTCTTTGTGGCTAATGAGAATGAAATTGAATCCCTGGCATGAGGCTGCCTCCTGTGGACATATTCCAGCCATTACAGCAGACCCCATGGTCATCCCACCTGGTCGTGCTCTGATGAATTGGCCTTGCTGATGTTCTTTTAGCCTTTATGTTGTAAAGCTATCTTTGTCTTTGAAAGAACTTTCACAGCTCTTGCATCCTTATTCCGGGGAACTGTATCACCGGAGCCAAGAACACATGATTTGGAATAAGGAGACTTGGATTCACATCCTAAGGCCTATTGTGGTGACCTTGGGCAAGTTGCTTAACCTTTAGGGCCTCCATTTCCCCTCTCTGAATGAGGGACCATTGTACCGATCTTAAAAGATGGCTTAACCAAAACGACACAGGAGTGGCCTACGGTGCTTTCTGTCTCTACACAAGGCTGTACTTTGGTTCCTTTTGATAGCAATGGGGGGAAGTTGCAGGACAATGAGTGACCAAAGCGTGTTGGAAGAGTTACACTTTTCCTTCATTTCCCAGCAAATGCCGTGTCCTGCTGGGATTCAATGTTACTCTGTCCCACTTTGCCTGAAGATGGGATTCCTTTGTTCAGGGCCCACAGTGCGCATGGATCCCAGTCATCATGCGCTGACTGCAGACTGCTTGTCCATGGCTTGTAGCCACGCCTTTGCCAACCCCATGTGATACCTCAAGGGGCCTACACGCCAAAGGATGAGGCATTCTGCTCCCACCTTTTTTTAGAATTTCTATAGCAGTTAGAGTATATAGTGGTTAAGAATGTGCACTTTGGAGCCCAGTTTCCTGGATTTGAAGCCAAGTTACTTTACTTCTCAAAGCCTCGATTTCCATACATGTAAAATAAGAACAGCAGCAATACTGACCTCATAGAGTTTGATAAGCATTAAATGAGTTGACGCATATAAAACTGGCACATACTGATTTGGTTGAACCAGACAAAATTGCCAGTAACCTAAAAAACCAGTAACGTCATAGGGTTCAACCTGATAGTAAACCCTTAATGAGTGGTAGCTCTTAGTATTGCTTTTTTCTCATCGATATAGAAACTGGAAATCTAGTAAGCTTGTTCTCTACCCAAAGGGGATTTGCACATGGTCCGTGGTCTCCTTCCACGGGATAGGCATGCAGCCTCCTTTCCCCAACCTTGCCCTTAACCCTCTGGGCCTCCATCTCTCTCAGCGTAGTCTGACAATCCTTCCACTTCTCAGAAGAAGGGAACCTTGTCACTTGCTACTGCAGGGGTCCTGGTTGCCATGTAGATGGTCAGGAGGTTGTCTGAGCAGCTGTCACTTGCATGAACAGAAGCAGTAAGATAAAGCACACATGTAATCCTTACAAGCAATTCCTCAGCAGTTGTGGGTTCTGTCTCTGGACAGGAGCTGGAGTGGCTGCTGGAGATTAACCGGCTCACGCACCGGCTGCTCTGTAAGCACATGACGCTGGACAGCTTTGACGCCATGTTCCGGGAGGCCAATCACAATGTGTCCGCCCCCTATGGCCGTATCACCCTGCATGTCTTCTGGGAACTGAACTTTGACTTTCTCCCCAACTACTGCTACAATGGGTCCACGAACCGGTAAGGGAATCCCTGTGCAGAGGGGGCCGGGTGGGGGTTGGGGGAGTGACCAGCTGCCTCCTCCAAACTAGGCCCGGTACACATGTGAGTGGTTCCTGCAACAGCAGTCTCTCAGACCCCTCCTGGGCACAGGCTCTGTGCTCTGTCACTTGTCTGAGGTCACAGAGCTGATTGACAGTTGAATGTTGTTAACAATTAGGTCTTCTTTCATTGAAGAGCTCTTTCTACTACTACTCTGAAGTTGCCCATTTGGGTGTTCTACTGCTCCAGTAAAACATGGGGCATGCCATGGTGAGCAGATACCTTCCTGTCTCTTGAGTCTTCAGACTAGAGGAGGATGTAACTGGTCAAATAATCACACGACAAATGTACCATTACAAATAGTGAATAAGGAGATGAAGGAAAGCCCACAAGGCCATGGCAGAGGTAACAGCACCACCTGTTCCAGTCTAAAAAGTCATGCAAACCTCAAGGGAGGCTGCCTCTTTGAGGAAGTAATGCTGGAGTTAAGATGCAAAGGATGAGTAGGAATAAATAAGGGCAAAAAGGCAGGAGAAGAATATTCCAGACAAGTTTCTAAGGGTTTCTCCAAGAGGTTAATGAGGGTAAAACTAGTTGGGTGGGAAATGGTGCCATGAAAGATAACACAGGAACAGATTGTGCAGTACTTTAGAGGCCAGGGCAGGATCGTGCATTTTTATTAACCCTGAAAGAGTTTGAGGAAAGGAGATGACATGATCAGATTGTATGTTTGTAAGGATATCCACATATCTGAAAGCATGCATGCAAAACGGCATACATTTGCAGAGCACAAATACACATGACAAAGTGGAACTTGCCTCCTGCAGGGTGCACACAGCCCTGGGCCAGGCACTGAGGTAGAGCCAAGACCTAATTTCTTTATCCCTGGAAAGTTTCATAACCTGGTGGAAGAGGTAAGGCATGTATATTCACATACAAAATAAGTATGTAAGGATGCAAAAAAATGTATTAATCTGCAGTTCTTCTAGGTATCTCCAAGCCTTGGCTCAGGGCCAGTATTAAATGAGTATGTGTTGAATGAATGGAAGGGTATGGGAGATATCCACAAATGTACCTGAATCCACACACTAAGTGAGATAGATTTCCAGTTCTATAAAGATGTAGAAGTTTTAACACTCTTGAGCAGGGAGCAGCAAACTGTGGCTCACAGACTACATCTAGTTGCTGTTTTTGTAAAGCCCATGAGCTGAGAATAGTATTCATACTTTTGGGTGGTTGAGGGGAAGAAATCCAAAGAAGAATAATATTTGGTGACAAGTGAAAATGATTTGTAATTGATAAAGTTTTATTGGAACTCGGTCATGCCATTTGTTTATTATTGTCTGTGGGTGCTTCCATGCTGCAACAGCAGAGTTGAGTACTTGCAACAGAGACCATCTGGCTTCCAAAGTTAAAAATATTTGCTGCCTGGCTCTTCTGAGAAAGAGTTTGCTGAACTCTGCTCTTGAGAAACCAAACTGAAGGTAGAGGAGTGGAGCCCCAGAGAAAGCCATGTTCAAGCCCAGCCCACTCTTATTCTTGCCTAGTGTCATTCTGAGCAGCCACAAGCTCCTGGTTGAGCCCAGGAATCTAGACTGAAGTTTTCCCATCTATGGAAAGGAGTTGAATGGGAAGTTAAATAGGAAGATGTCAGAAGAGTTTAGTACCTTTATAGTCAACCACCTAACAGTGCACTTGTACCAATGCAAACCTTCACCTGGCCAGGAAGCACTCCTGTTACCTGTGTCCCATGAAGAATAATGTTAGCACCATATTAACTCTTTCCCATCCCTTTGCTTCTACTAGTTTTGTGCGGACTGCCATTCCTTTCACCCAAGAACCACAACGAGACAAACCTGCCAACGTCCAACCTTATTACCTTTATGGATCCAAGGTAAGTAGTCCTGCCCTACCCTGCCTAAAAGAGGATTGGTGAGAAAAAGCACATAGAAAAGTGTCCCTTAATTAGAAGAGTAAGAAGGTGGAGAGATAAATGCAGCAATGAGGTCAGGCACAGTGGCTCTTGCCTTTAATCCCCCAGCACTTTAGGAGTCCGAGACCGGTGGGTAATTGAAACCAGGAATTTGAGAACAGCCTGGGCAACATAGCGAGACCCTGTCTCCACCAAAAAAAAATTAAAAAATTAGCCAGACATGGCAGCATGCACCAGCAGCTACCTGGAAGGCTAAGGCAGGAGGATCCTTTGAGCCCAGGAGTTTTATGCTACAGTGAGCATGATTGTACCACTTCGCTCCAGCCTCAGTGACAGGGTGGGACTGTTATCTTTAAAGAGAAAGGAAAAAGGCAGCAATGAGATCCAGGCAGAAACAGCTATGAGTATATGAATCTTTATTTGTTCACAAGTAGCAGGAATGGGGGCAAAAGCAGACCTCCACGACTGGGTGCTGAGCAGGGAATGCGTGAGGTAGGCAAGGGAATAGGGATGTGGGGCTTCTCGTCTTGGCTTCTCAGCTCCTGCTGTTTCTCAGTTGATTCACTGCAGTGTCGTCCTGTGATTCTGGGATTTTGTGCTCTATAGATACAAGAGGGCACTGGGAAAGTCTTAGGATGATGCTTGGAGAGTGCAGGCATCTTCTCCAGAATAGCCCGCCTAGTCTGGTCAAGACAATTTTCTCAAATTGAGGGAAGCTGACTGACAGCATTTGAAGTGGTTCACAGACATGGCATTTAACTAACACTGACTCATAAAGTAAAAACAGCACTTCCCTTTTCTATTCTCTTTCAAACCTTATGCTATATCAAGGGAAAGACAAATATTGGTGCTAATATGTGTTTATTACCTCTCCAACACCGGATCTCCCTTTTTATCAAAGACAAGCAAGCGGGTATTAAGCTCAGAGTCACTGGCAGGCAATAGAAGCTAAGTCAGATTTAATATTATCTTGTTTTCATAATGTTTATTCTTACGTCTCTTCCCTTCTGTTTGTAGCAGGAGGGTGCTGGCTTTTCACTTATGGACTAAAATAAGGCTGTCTTTGAAAATAAGTTTACACCTAAAAACGGAGTCAATTTAAAGAGAGAAAAAGTATTATTAATAATAGTAAAGATAATCCATGATTTTAAAAAAACAGAGACAGGTGGTGTGTGATTGCCTAAAAGTTGGAAAACACTCCAGAGCAAGGGTTCTCACACTTTTCCAAGTAATCCCCTCAAGGGCAGAGGAAACTAGACATCCACCTTTGCCCAAAAGTGTACCTCCCAGAGCGTACTCGCAACTCAAACATTTCCTTCAAGTGCTGTTTTATTTAAGTCATGCAAATTTTTGCTTTCTACTTTATAACATATCCATGTTTGTTTTAATGTTAAAACAAAGATTTCAATTCTTAACTGTGTCCTCCGAGTGGACGCTGCTGCAGAGATGCCCTGTTGGTGCCTTGGCATACCCTGGGGGACATACCCTGGGGGATACATTTTCCAGCTTGAGAAGCTTTGTCATGGGGCATTCATCCAACCCAGGTGACCCACAATAGCAATGACATTTGATGGGAGAGAAATGGGTAGCCTATAGACATGTTTGTACAAAAGACCTACTGTGTGTAAAGCTTTAGGCTACATGATGCGGGCTGTCTCCTCCCCACTCTCATTCCCCACAATGAGGCAGTATGGCGGGTTGGTCACCACCCCCTCTCTGTAAGGCACCCGCATCAGGGGCATCCTGGTTGGCTTCAGGATTCAGTTCAGCTTCATCTCTGGAGTTCTTGCGTGGCACTTCCACCAGGGGGAGCCCCTGCAGGTCTTCCTCCCTCTGACCAAGATCCGGGGCCTCCTCTGGCCATCTCACCAACCCATTGGCCTCCTCCATGTGGCCAGCCCTGTAAGACCATCGCGGCTCATGGCAACGGACACACCAGAACTGGAGGCAGATGAAGGCCAAGACAGCTGTGAAGCAGGCCAGCAGAATAGCCATCAGCACCCAAAGGGAGATTTGGGGGTCTACCAGGGAGCTTCCGGGAGCCAGCGGAGTCTTATCCAGGGTGTGGAACATGGTGCAGTAGTGCCTGTAAGGGAAGGCAGCCTTCTTACAGCTGATGCACAGGAAGTAGAGAGTGGAAGGGGCGAGATGTTCCAGCACCACGGAGCTGATCGTTCGAGGCACCTTCTCCTCGTGGTGGAAGCTGTAGCGAAGATAGCCAGAGAAGATGCTGTTCCAGTTGGGCCTATACATAATATGGTAATAGTCCTCCAGGCAGGGCTCCGAGGACGACCAGGAGATGATGGCTCCTGTATAAGAAATGTTCCCCACCTCGATGTTCATCCCGATTCTAGAACCAGAATCAAAGTGAAGAGTGACATCCCCTGATTTAAGTATGTATTTATCATAATCATAGCCACCATTTATTGCACATTTGAGACGGTCTCTCATATTGCCCTCATCTTACAGACAAAGAAATGGAGGCCTAGATGTTCTGTTATTTAGGCATAGCGAAAAAGTGGCTGAACAAAAGTTAAAACCAAGGCCATCCCATGCCAAATTTCAGGCCTAAAAAGAGATGCACCCATGTAATCCCAGCCACATCCCACCCTAGCCAAGATCCTTCAGATAATAACATTGTTCTCATACCCTTAAGAAAAAAGACAAAAAAGTAGGAGAAATCAGTAGAACCTCAGAGACTCCACCTTTATTCTCAGGTCTGTGACCTCCCCTCAGGCAATTGATTGACCTCAATTTTCTTCCCTGACCTTCTGTTTCTGCTGTAAGTACTGTGAACTCAGTGATCTAGAACATTCTGCCCACTGCTTTTTTTAGCCTCCTGGTTCTGTTGTCCATGGTGAGTGGAAATTCGCTTCGTCACTCTTTAGCAGCTGATTTCACCCCAAAGCTTCTCCTGTTTTGTTTGTTTTTTCAAAACCAGCGTTACCAGGACATTTACTTTATAGGTGAAGATAATCATCCCCTAATATCAGCATAACTACCACTATTTAACTCTGCTGGTATTATGAATGTTAATGATGGTAATAACCACTCACAGTAAGTGGTTGCTATGTCACTGATCATGCTAGATGATTCACAGACAGTAATTAATTTCCTTTATTCTTCATCACATCCTCTGAGCTAGATTCCCATTTTACGGATGAGCAACCTGATGTCACACCGCGAATATGTAGAAAAAGGACTCAATGCTGCCTAACCACTGCATTTCCTAATGCGAGGCTGCCGGGTTTGGTTACAGACGTTATTGCAAAATGAGGTGCCAGGACTGAGACCCAGTTGCTGTTTTTCCAGACAAATCAAATGAGCCCTCTTCAGATTGCCAGGCCCCGCTTTGATAAGAGAGAGCCATCTTCAAGTATTTTAGTTTCTCTCTTGCCGTCCCCTCTACTGATTTCCCCGATCAGAAATACAGAGACAGTCATAGTCAGCCTACGTATATTCACGTAAAGGTCTCACCCTGCTTTGTCCTCCGTCCCTCCTCCCTCACGTGAAATCCAGTAGGTTTCATTTTGGGTTGCAGTGACATAGTAAACAGCTGTCAACTGGATTTTCGCCTGCATTGGATATTAAGCCAAAGCAATGGCTATTATGACCTGCCTTTCTCTCTCCTCCGCTTGCCCCCATCCTCTTGTGTTTGTGCCCATTTTCCTCCAGGAGTGGAGCTGCAGAAAGGTGCAAAGCATTGAGTAATTTCTCAATCCTTGTTTTTCTTCTGTAAGGGTAACAGTGAGCTAAGATGCTCAGGAAGGTGAATAGTGTCTTTCTATGTGGCTGAAAATTTCTTCCCAATAAATGGAGAATGAAAGGGATGAGACAGATGTGCTCAGACCCTTCCAGGGAAGGTCATCATGAAGGAGACTGAACGTTCGTGTTCCCTGGCTTGTTGTCCTCTACACACTCATCTTCCCCACCCCACACACCCCTATAAATACACTTTCGACCACAATGAAAAGAGCCTAATTCATTACTTATGATACATAGGCAGCCACCTGTGTAAAACCCTTCCGTCAGGAGTAATCAGGAATCCTGTTTCTTGTCACGCACAAATGTTCTCTTGGCTTCCTATCTGCCACTAGCTGTCTGTACAGATGGAATTACCTCAGCAGACATTTTTAAGAGATTTCTGTCAAGACGCAAATAGCATCCTCAGCTTTTAGGACCAGGTCCATCTCCCTTATTGATTTTTCTTCCTCTGTTTCCATTTCTAAATTCTCCCCTATTTTTAACTATTCATTTACCATTGCCCAGCCCTTCTCCAAGCAGAGTGTAAAAAGAAGTCATTTCCATTTCCAAGAAGAGCCATCTATATTTCTTACCTGATGCTCGCAGCGTGTCTGGTTAGAGCTCTGCCCTCCGAGGTGGAGTAGATTAAAGCTGAGAGAATGGTGCCTTCTCCCTCCTCCACTCTGGGTTTTCCGTGTTGTTTCTCTCAACACTGAGTAATCCCACTGCTGCCCCTAACGCTCATGTTATTCATTTCTTCAGATCAGCATCATTCACCATGGCAACCAGCAGGCATCTGTACGCACGATGCTTTCAGGGACCAGCCTGGAAAGGCTTTTGCCCAGTGAGAGGAGCTCTCATTCCTTTGGCTAAAAAAGGGCAGATGATCCCCTGCAAACTGATCCCCAGTGCAGTACTAATTCTTCTAACACTCCTACATTTTCTCCCCAATTGGCTGGTTATTATTTTCTCGTCCCATCTAGATCCTCTTTGGCTAATGGTTTTAAATGCAAGGATGCTCTTCTCAGTTATTCCACAACCAAAACAGTAATATTCATCTTCATCCCCTCCCACCCCTACACTTCCCCATCCCAACTGCCTACCCCACCTCTTTATCTTCGTTTTTCTCTATTCTTGACTCTTATAGCATTACATAGTTATATGATACTGGTCAAAACCCTCTTATTTGTATTGTCTGAACCTCAGTTCCGCCATCATCTGTAAAGCTGTGGGCTTGAGCTACATCGGGATGGCAGATCAGAAGGCCGAAGACATGAGCCCTATCCCTGCACAGCCTTGAACCCATGTCAAGCTTGCTAAACCATCATGGCACTCTCACTGGGTTGAATAATTCCACCCCCCACCACAAAAAAATGCATATCCACCCAGAACCTCAGAATGTGACCTGATTTAGAAATAGAGCCTTTGTAGATGTAACTAGATAAGGATCTCAAGATGAACTCATCCTGGATTTAAGGATGAGCCCTAAATTCAATGACTAATGTCTTTGTAAGAGAACAGAGAGGGAGATGTACACACAGAGAGGCACAAAGGGAAGAAGCCAAGGGAAGACAGAGGCAGAGAGTGGAGGGATGCTGCCATCAGCCAAGGAACACTGGGAGCCAGCAGCAGCTGGGAAGGCAAGGGAAGATTCTCCCCTAGAGCCTTTGGAGAGGGCATGGTTCTCCCAGAACCTTGATTTTAGGCTTCTGGTCTCCAGAACTGTAAGAGAATAAATTTCTGTCATGTTAAGCTGCCACATTTATGGTAATTTGTGATAGCAACCCTGGGAATCCAATGCAGCACTCCTTCCAGCTGGGTGCTGAAACAGCCCCAGAGCTCCTCTGAGCACAAGCATCCCAAGAAACTGCTTCCCAATCAGTCAGTTGGAGTTGATGCCAGAAATGGAAACTGCTACTCCTGGATTGGACCATCCCCAGTGTTCCTTTCAAGAATCCAGACTGCTTGCCTCCCCTTTTCTCACAAAGGGCTGTCTGGCTCTGAGGTTCCATCCCTTCCTGTTCCTTTCAACCTTGTAAGAACATGTTGCCGCCATTCTATGGAGGAGATCACAGGGCGTGTCTGGAACAGAGGGTGGAAAGTAGCTCACATACATTTAGACCTCAATAAATTTGAACAAATTATATGTTTTTAAAAGTCAGCTTTTCTCTTCTTGATTGTTGACCAAAGTATCCAAGTGAACACATGAAGGTCTCTTTCTGATTCCTATTAATGATAAAAGGTTAGGAAGAAAGCCAGGCACAGTGGCAGTGGTGTGCACCTGTAGTCCCAGCCACTTGGGAGGCTGAGGTGGGAGGATCACTTGAGCTTAGGAGTTCCAGACCAGCCTGGGCAACATAGAAAGACTTTCTCCGTTGGAAAAAAAAAAAAAAAAAAAACCGTCTTGGTGAGTTGCGACCCTACACTTGGCCAAAGGTCTCTGGGAGGCGTGGAGTCTCGGGACAGCCAGTGATCCTTGATCAGACAGTTGCTCTGCGGCTTGCCCATGGCATTCAGTCTTCCCAGGGGCCTGTCTTAAGTCTGCAGCAATGCGTGCAGCATGTCTCTTCCCATGCGAGCAGAGTCAGGTCAAGTGCTAATAGTGAGTCCCCACAGAGCATGAAAGCATCCTTCTCACAGAAAGGCCACGCAACTGTTTGCAGGTGCCCTTTGAAAAGGTTATTTTGAGGGGAGTAAAAATACCAGAGTTAAGGGGTCTGAGGAGGAACAAGGTAGAGACTCAAGCCTTTTTCCACAGAAAATGGGAATTTATTTTTAATGTTCTTGGATGACATTTTTAACCATGAAAAATTTTCCTCTGTGGAATTAAGAGACTCAGAAAATGTGAGGCCTTGAAGCCCTCTTGTTTCACAGTCCTGGGAGAAGACATGGCATTCCTCAGGCCACTTGGCTGATGAGTGGCAGAGCTGCCAGTGAAATGGGATGGGGCCCCAGACTCGAAGGCCAGGGTTCATCCCGCTCCTCTGAGCTGTCGCCACTCGCCAGCAGCACCCAGAGGAGCCAGTGCAGCCCTTTGCGAAGGAGATAAAGTATCTGGGACACCTGCCCCAGGACATTACACCCCAGCCATGCTCACGCTTTCTCCATCATCAGGGACAATTCCTCCAGAGTCTGTGCAAGTTGTAGCCTCTTTGCTGTCAGGCCAGGTGGGCCCCAGCTAGTTGACACCAGTAGTAAACTACTGCTAGAGGAAATCAGCTAGGAGCAAGGTTCTTCCACCTTTCCTGAAGGTGGCAGTGAAGGGATAACATGGGGCAAGCCCCAGTCCCAAAGCTGGATTGGCACATGGGGAAAGTGAGTGGCTTACAGAGCATGCCCTGGAATTCCCAGGCTGGAGTGCAGTGGCACAGTCATGGCTCACTGCAGCCTTGACCTCCCAAGGCTCAGGTGATCCTCCTGTCTCAGCCCCCCCAAGTAGATAGGACTACAGGCGTGCACTACCACACCTGGCTAATTATTATTTTTGAGATGGAGTCTCACTCTGTTGCCCAGGCTGGAATGCAGTGGCAAAATCACAGCTCACTGCAACCTCTGCCTCCTGGGTTCCAGTGATTCTCCTGCCTCAGCCTCCCAAGTAGTTGGGACTACAGGTGTGCACCACTGCGCCCAGCTAATTTTTGTATTTTAGTAGAGATGGAGTTTCGCCACATTGGCCAGTCTGGTCTTGAACTTCTGACCTCGTGATCCACCTGTCTCAACCTCCCAAAGTGCTGGGATTACAGGCGTGAGCCACTGCGCCCTGCCTCACCTGGCTAATTTTTGTGTTTTTAGTAGATACGAGATCAGACAGTTGCTCTGAAGCTTTCCCATGGCATTCAGTCTTCCCAGGGGCCTGTCTTAAATCTGCAGCAATGCATACAGCATGTCTCTTCCCAACTGCTAGTGGTGAGTCCCCACAGAGCATAAAAGCACCCTCCCACTGCAACGAACCGAAATCGCGCCACTGCACTCCAGCCTGGGCAACAGTGGAAGACTTCGTCTCAAAAAAACAAAATAAAAAAAAAGCATCCTCCCCACACCGTGTTGCCCAGACTGGTCTCGAACTCCTGGGTTCAAGCAATCCACCCACCTTGGCCTCCCAAAGTACTGGGACTATAGGCATTAGCCACCACGCCTGGCCAAATTCCCTCACTTTATTTATTTATGTATTTATTTATTTATTTACTTATTTCAGTTTTTTTTAATTTCAATAGATTTGGGGGGAACAGGTGGTTTTTGGTTACATAGATTAATAATTTAGTGGTGATTTCTGAGGTTTTGGTGCACCCATATGAGCAGTATACACTATTCCCCATATGTAGTCTTTTATCCCTCTCCCTCCTCCCACCCTTCCGAGTCTCCAAAGTTCATTGTATCATTCTTAATGCCTTTCTGTCCTCATAGCTTAGCTCCCACTCGTAAGTGAGAACATAATGATGTTTGGTTTTCCATTCCCGAGTTACTTGACTTAGGATAATGGTCTCCAAGTCCGTCCAGGTTGTTGCAAATGCCATTATTTCATTCCTTTTTATGGCTGAGTAGTATTCCATGATGTATACATGCCACATTTTCTTTATGTACTCATTGATTAGTGGGCATTGGGCTGGTTCCAAATTTCTGCAATTGCAAATTGTGCTGCTATAAACATGTGTGTGCAAGTATCCTTTTCATATGATTTCCTTTCCTCTGGGTAGATACCCAGTAGTGGGATTGCTGGATCCAATGGTAGTTCTTACTTTTAGTTCTTAAAGGAATTTCCACACTTTTTTCCATTATATTTGTACTAGTTTACATTCTCCCCAGCAGCGTAAAAGTGTTCCCTTATCACCACATCCACACCAACATGTATTATTTTTTGATTTTTTATTATGATCATTCTTGCAGGAGTAGGGTGATAATACATTGTGATTTTGATTTGCATTTCCCTGATCATTAGTGATGTTGAGCTTTTATATATATATATATATATATATATGTATGTTTATTGGCCATTTGTATATCTTCTTTTGAGAATTGTCTATTCATGTCCTTAGCTTACTTTTTGACGGGAGTGTTTTGTTTTGTTTTGTTTTGTTTTCTTCTTACTGATTTGTTTGAATTCTTGTAGATTCTGGATATTAGTCCTTTGTCAGATGTATACTTTGCAAAGATTTTCTCCCACTGTGTGGGTTGTCTGTTTACTCTGCTATTTTTTTTTCTGTGTAGAAGCTTTTTAGTCTAAGTCCCGTCTATTTGTCTTTGTTTTTGTTGCATTTGCTTTTGGGCTCTTGGTCATGAAGTCTTTACATAAGCCAATGTCTAGAAGGGTTTTTCAGATGCTATCTTCTAAAATTTTTATGGTTTCAGGTCTTAGATTTAGGTCTTTGATCCGTCTTGAGTTGAATTTTGTATAAGGTCAGAGATGAGGATCCAGTTTCATTTTTCTACATGTGGCTTGTCAATTATCCCAGCACCATTTGTTGAAAAGGGTGTCCTTTCCCTACTTTGGTTTTTTTTGCTTTGTCAAAGATCAGTTGGCTTTAAGTATTTGGCTTTATTTCTGGGTTCTCTATTCTGTTCCATTTGTCTATATGCCTATTTTTTATGCCAGTACCATGCTGTTTGGTGACTATAGCTGGATAGTATAGTTTGAAGTCAGGTAATGTGATGCTTCCAGATTTGCTCTTTTTGCTTAGCCTTGCTTTGACTGTGTGGGCTCTTTTTCAGTTTCATATTCCTTTTTAGATTGTTTTTTCTAGTTCTGTGAAGAATGATGATGGTACTTTGATGGTGTGAATTGCAATGAATTTGTGGATTGCTTTTGGCCATATTGTCATTTTCACAATATTGATTCTACCCATCCATGAGCATGGGATGTGTTTCCATTTGTTTGTGTCATCTGTGATTTCTTTCAAGAGTATTTCGTAGTTTTCCCTGTAGAGGTCTTTCACCTCCTTGGTTAGGTATATTCCTAACTATTTTAATTTTTTTTCAGCTATTGTGAAAGGGGTTGAGTTCTTGATTTGATTCTCAGCTTGGTCGGTGTTGGTGTATAGCATGAGCCTTTAGGGTCTTCTGGGTATACAATCACGTCATCAGCAAACAGTGACAGTTTGATTTCCACTTTACTCATTTGGATGCCCTTTCTTTCTCTTATCTTATTACTCTGGCTAGGACTTCCAGTACTATGTGGAATAGCAGTGGTGAAAGTGGGCACCCTTGTCTTGTTCCAGTTCTCAGGGGAAACTTCCTCACTTTAAAAATGGGACTATTATAATGTCTGCCTTGTAGTGTTATTTATAACAGATGAACCCATGTCTATAAAGTCCTGGGCTTAGGAATAGTATTTGTCATTATTAAGAAGAAAAGGTCAGTGGATCAGAGCCATTTCCTGAGTTGGTCGTAGCTTCATCCAGAGGCTATAATGAGCAAAGTTTACACCCTGCATTGATAGCACTTCCTTGCTTTTTCCCCTCTTAAATCACTTTTATTGGTTTTATTTTTTAATGTATATACTCATTGTACATGAATAATATAGAAAAGTTCAAAGATGACAGTAAAACTCATGCAACTCAAACTTGGGAATTTTCTGTGCATTTTACATGTGTGTTCTCGTTTTACAAACCGCATGACAACTCCTTGAGATTGGCCTTCTTATCCCCATTGTACAACTGGAGAGACTGAAGCTCACGGGGGGACGGCTTGGCTGCTCTCACGAAGCTAGGTCCTGGCAAACAATGGTGTAAGCCTGGGTCTGTTGGCCACTAGAGCTGGAAATCCTGGCTGGCCTCTTTGATGCTCTGCTGCTCTGGTTGTACCATCCTGTAACCTGTGATTCTTCAGTCCGTAGTAGCCCTTTGCTTTGTGGTTAGCTTCCCTTGAGAGGTAGGGCCAGGACTTCAAAGTATGATGCACTCCAGAATGGTGGAGCAGGTGAAGAACTAAAAGCTCTTACAGGCCGGGCGCGGTGGCTCAAGCCTGTAATCCCAGCACTTTGGGAGGCCGAGATGGGCGGATCACGAGGTCAGGAGATCGAGACCATCCTGGCTAACACGGTGAAACCCCGTCTCTACTAAGAAATACAAAAAATAGCCGGGCGAGGTGGCGGGCGCCTGTAGTCCCAGCTACTCGGGAGGCTGAGGCCGGAGAATGGCGTGAACCTGGGAGGCGGAGCTTGCAGTGAGCTGAGATCCGGCCACTGCACTCCAGCCTGGGCTACAGGGCGAGACTCCGTCTCAAAAAAAATAAAAAATAAAAAAAAAAAAAGCTCTTACAGAGAACATCTAACCACCTGATGTGGTAGCATCAGGGAAGATATCAACTCATTTGGAG